ACATGACAAGCCTTACTTACAGATGTTCATATTTGTGCGTAAGTGCGATAGTTAATCTGTTATCTGGTTTACCGGGTTTTAATTAGCTACTAAACTAAATGGGACCGATGTATGCTTGAATGGTAAGCGATAAATTTGTCGTCGCCTTAAGGGTGGCAGTTCAGATTGGCTTTCGAGTCTGTCCATTGTCAAGACGTGAGTAAGATCTCTAAAAACACCTAGAATTTTTCACCAATCTTTTTTATGAGAAGTAATGTTACAAGAATCTAGCGGGTTCGTAGCGAGGTGCGATGGTGCAGTGTAGGTTTTTTGAGCAGAATTTTATGACTTTGTAACTTTTTAGCACATTTTGCACCACACTGACGAAAACGTCTATCATTTTTTAAAACGTGATTCATGAATATTCAGTGGGTGGCTGCTTGACTCAGCACATCTTGTCGAAAATCGAATCAACCATTGAGTGCGTTGATGCGTTTAAACAAACGCGATGTCGTGTAATTCAAAAAGGCGGATTAAGTTTTGGCCTTAGTTATAGATAAATCAAGAGTTATCGAGACAAAACCACTTCATACTATTTCAATGCGATGCAAGACGGTAAAGGAAATAATTATCGATCGTGTGGCAAGTTGGAAATCGAAATTCAAGATCAAGTATTGATTATTGATCCGTATGTAATTAATTGAAATATTGATCTTAGTTACTGATAAAGCTGTTATCGAGTGAATTGAAAAAAAACCAGCACACCAAACTATTTGGAATTAAAGCATTTAGCTGATTAATTATGGATTTTGTTTGAAATAAAATATTTAAGTGCAACACTAAATATTTAGTCATAATCACCTAAATTAAAGCCACACCAATGATAATCTACTTCGAATTAAAACAAACTATTGACCCACCCAACCCGAGATTGAATTATAATGGTAATAATAATAATTATGAAACGTGCTTTCTTTAGCTGAAAATTCAAGTTAAAAATCAACTACTGATTATTTGACTCCTGTTTAAGTAAATGTATAAAAAAGGTCTTATGTAAGTCACAAAGATAAATCGTCATCGGTTGAATGTAAACAACACCAAAGAATTTTTAATGAAACAAATTATCACCATCCCATCCCGATGTACTTCTCATTCGATTAATTATCATTACGTCCACAGTTCAGATATGTATTTATAAGTGGCCCATCTCTAAGGCAACGAATTGAATCATTAACGATTGCGCTTTAAGTGAGTTGGAAATTCAAATTCAGAATGCAAATCGTTGTAAACTACTGGAGTAATTAGAAGGAAGAAATAGATTGGTAAAAAGTTAATTATCTATGCTGAACTGTCGATAATGCGGCAAGTAAGTTGAAAATTTGACTTCAAAATTAACAACTGATCCCTGTCCAAATGAAAGTGCAATACCAGCGGTTGTTACAGACACGATACATCCATTACTGGGGTGGTTAGAAGATAGACGTGATTGGAAAATAAGGAGTTATCGATGGAATCAGAAGCACACCAATCTACTTTTAAGAAGTAATTAAAGGACCCAAGCCGATTGTGTGGTAAGTTGAACACTGGGATTTAAAATCACCCACTGATTATTGATCCCGGTAATTAATTGAAGGAATTGTAATCTCTCAAGTTACAGATGATGATGATACACCGATTTGTTACTGGGGTAATTGGTAAAGCATGAAATGAATTGAGAATATATCAGTTGTCGATGGAATTATAAGAAAGAGTTCACTTGTTATGAAATTAAGTACCGATTAATTTAAAAAATACAAAGTCAAAAATGACTATCAATGTGTTTTTACTTGGAATTGTAATAAGAGTGTTGGTTATTTCAAGACAAATGAGTTATTGAATTAAAAACGACTGGACAAGTTGAATTATTATTATTATTGCTAATATCGGTCCTGTAATATTGAGTTGCAATTGAAATTGAGGCGATTGAATTTAAACTACACCAGAGTTTCTGGTAAAAAAAATTGACGATCGCATTTTAAGTTAAAATTAGAACACACTACACCACACAATCTCGGAGTAATTATCTATGCAGCTTCTCTGCAATTATTAATTCATGAATTACCAATCTCGTTTGAAATCGAAAATTAGCACATGAAATTTGAATATCGGTTCTCGTTATGGACACATAGATTACTACGGCTAATATTACCAAAAATTCTACTGCCAAAGCCACTACTACAACTACTACTGCTACTATAACAGCTACTACTACCACCACTACTGCTGCAACAACTACCAAACCTACTTCTCCTACTACTAACTACTATAACTACTACTGCCACTAAAACTACTACTACTACTACTACCACCACCACCACCACCACCAACAAAGAACAAGCCCAGCACCACCAGCTTCTCACGAAAGTGCTCAATTTTATTTTCACGGGCCAATGCCAGTATCTCAAGGACCCTCCGCTCTTAGCATTTCCTTCCACTTGATAATTTAATGTGAAGGTTAAAAAATATGATCACGCAGAGTTAGGTCCAGCAAGCACAGCTGAACTGCTTATGGTATCGCAGTATGAATTCAGCTTCATGGGAAGTCATCTGCAGAATGTGTTTCCGGGGCAACTAAAAGCCTTTAAAATAGTATTTTTTTTTATAAGACCAGGATCAAAATGAAAGATATCGACTAAAAAATGACCAACTAGTTTTTTTGGTCGATCGCTAAAAATAAAATTGGCATTTGATTGAATGGTTATCGATGAGTTTAAAAGCTCCTCCGAATGTCAACTTCTTTATAGTTTTAAATTGGAGTTATTTTTTCCTGTCGCCGTAGTCGTTGAGCATTTTGTGTTGCAGACCAATTAAATTATAGTCCTTTTCAATTCTAGCTTGCATGTTTCAATTATTCTGTTGTTCAGCTACATGCTTATTGAACCGCTTGACCAACAAAACCTTAGGATTTTCGCAACTTTATAGAATTTTTTAAAAATTAACTGTGCCCTATTGTAGATTACCGGAGCCAAATTATGAAGGAGCCTAGTACAACCGATAAGGCTTTATTGACGAATCACAATCAAGAACCACACGTCAGGCACGGTGCATTGGAGTCCACCTCTTATTATATACAGCGTCTTGTACGTTTCTGTCTGTGGTTGGCTGCATGTCTTCCCCGCATGATATTAGAAAGCAAGGCGACAGAGGATTGGCTTAGGCCAGCGTGTTCCAATATGTCTGCCTCTATATAGAAGTCACTACTTCTGAATATCCGAGCCCTAATAGAATGAAGACTGGCACAACAGAGCAGGCTTTATTGATTAATCACAAGCCAGAGAAACAAGTCAGACGCCTTCCATCCGAGTTGACCACACTGGCCACGCCGCTAAATATATACTGCACATCATTCGTGTCCTTTGGTTGGCTACTTATCTTCCTCGCATGCCATTGGTACGCAGAGAGACACAGGATTGGCTGAGGCCAGTGTCCAATATGTCTGCGGGGCCTTAGACATCTCCATCATACGTCTGTGGCGTCGGATCAGGGCACAGACGTGTAGGACCACATGGCTGCAGCCAATCCTGTGTCTATCTGTGTTCCAATGGCATGCGAGAAAGATAAGCAGCCAACCAGAGAAGGACACGACCGAGGAGCAGTATAAAAAGAGCGGCGTGGCCAGCTTGGTGGACTCGAATGGATGGTGCCTGACGCGTGGCTTGTGATTGGTCAATAAAGCCTGTTCTGTTGTACCGGTCTTTTTCCTATTAGGGCTAGGGTATTCTGCATTGGTGGCAGCGGACGCGTTCGAATTACGCGAATCGGACCCTAGTCCTTTCTCTTCAATGGTCAACAGAGGCAAAGACCCTTAAATGCCAACTGAAATTGTCATGGCGGTCATCCGATGTCCAATAAACTGGATCCATAGACATTGCTCGGGATTAGGACTACGGCATCTGAAGAGGCATTGGCAACTCAGCGACGACGACTTGGACAATGAAAGCCAGCTGGACTGCATCTGCGAAGGACCTTCAATGGATGATGAGTCTTTCCTGCAAGTCTACAAGTGCAAACTCCCTCGTCAACTTTTCGCTTGAGCCACTATCCTGCCAGATGCGGGGTGCGGGGAGTGTCTAACTGGATATTTTATCAACACTGGATATCAACAACTGTGCGGTGAACCAAGCCAGACGCTGAGGACAGCTTCACTCCTAAGGGGGAGGCAGTGTGGCGTCGGATCAGGGCACAGACATGTTGGACCACCTGGCCGCAGCCAATCCTGTGACTATCTGTGTTCCAATGACATGCGAGAAAGATAAGCAGCCAACCAGAGAAGGACACGACAGAGGAGCAGCATAAAAGAGCGGCGTGGCCAGCTTGGTGGACTCGAATGGATGGTGCCTGACGTGTGGCTCTGGCTTGTGATTGGTCAATAAAGCCTGTTCTGTTGTACTAACACGATTTTTGGGCCCATGACAAGAACTAGGCTGACACATAGAACGGATGGCTTTATTGGACACAGATATAATCTGTAGTCTGGGCAGCGTCATAGGGGAATCCAGGGCCTTTATGCAGCCTCGGTATGGTCGTCCTGTTCTCGCGTTGGTCTGTTCCAGGGCGCTGCCATGGAGATGGTAAACTCACGAATTGATTGGCTCTCGGTACCGGCGCGCTATTCAATGCGCCCGTGACGCACGTAGTCTGAAGTCGTGCTCCCGGTCACATGACACCTTCGCCATGCCTTGCTGTTAACTCTAGACCAATGAGTGAGCACCAAATGACGACTATCCGCCATACCGTTACTCTACACTTCGTCGTGTTTCCTGCATTATGCTTTCCACTCCAACATAATTTCAACTGACAGCAAGGCGTCAGAGGGCTGTTGTAAATATCGTACGTTTCAGTAAATTTAGCCCTCACTTTCTGTCTGATTTGTGCCTTTTGTACGCAACATTTCTACCAATGTACGTTAGCGCTTTTTGCGTAATTCCCTTCTTACCTTTATAGGTTAAACAGGGATCTAAAAGCTCCCAAATTATTTTACAATGTCTCAATTGGGAGAGCTGGAAAATTTAACGGTGCTCTACAAGTCCGAAGATTTCCAATTTGTCAGGGACACCACAACCTCCTTGATTACTGGATGGTATTATGCTCATCCCAAACTGCCTCAAAAGACTCCTACATTGCAGGCGAGGATCCGTGTCACATCACAGATTACGAAGCTGTTTCCTTACACACACCCGCAACTTAAACGGCTCGATGGCGCGTTGTACAAGATATATCTCATTGACCATCCACCTCCAGTCTTATTAAAATTTACGCTACCTCAGGGTTATCCCGAGACAGAGGCCCCTTTGCTGCGACTGGAATGTTCGTGGGTCCCGTCATTTTACTTGGACGAGGTTGTTTCACAGCTGAATGCATTCGCGAGCTGCAAGATCGGAGAACAGTGTCTGTGGGAGTGTTTTGACTATCTGGAATGTGAGTTGTTGTCGAGTCTTCTTGAGTTGCCCAGAGAAGGTGACAGTCTGGTGTACGATGTGAGCGAGAAGATTCCACATCGACGAATGCGAGATTCAGCCTTGGCGAGTATCGTGGATTACGATGCGTTGGAGAGGAGACGTGTGTTTAGAGAGAGTAAGGTGGAGTGTGAAGTTTGCATGGATGCGGATAAGTTGGGAGCGGAGTGCACACGATTGAGTGGATGTGAACACGTGTTCTGTCATGAGTGCCTTCGGGAGGCGCTGAAATACCACATGGCGGATGGCGTGACTGCAGGTACCTTCCGGTGTTTGGGATGCAACAGCCTGGTTGATTTGAATGAGGTAAGATTGTCGTTCGCAGGAGGTTTGAATATTTAACGAACAGTATTTAATTAGTATCCCTCACACGGAGCTGTGATATTTGACCTTGGTGGTAGGAAACGTGTCGCGATGTATGAAACAGGGAGTTCTAAATTCTTTTCTCTGTGATATTGTTGGATTCGTGGGTATCGTTGTGGTATAATTGTGGTATTTACGATGACATTTGAAGGGAGTTAAGCGGTTGAATCGCGTGGTTTGCTTGTTTGTCGGGGTGTGTGTTATGATTTTAGATTTGCGTTTATTCGTGGCATTTAATGTACTTTGTACACATGAAGTTTTTTTTTGTTAATTGCCTGTGTGGATTTATGGTTAATTTAAGAAAGGCACAATTTATCCTAGGTGCAGTGTCTGAGGATTAGATTATCATGGCCGTATTTTAGGTGGAGTCGCAAATGCCAAAAAAGTCCGTAACGCCCTACCATTTGGTAGTTGAAGTGTCTGTGGTTGGTTTCCAGGTTACCGTTGTTATGACGCTTAGTAGAATGAGGTGGCTGGTTATCTGATTTGCTTAATTGGCGAAACGGTTCCGTATTTTGCGTTGTTTTAGTACCTGAACATCGGCTGACCCATCCTAGGTAGCTTGAACGACCATGGGTTGACCTAGGTTTTTCGAAAGTCGTCCCGCGCAAATCATTGTTAGTTGAAAGTTGTCAGTTGAGTATACAGTGACAGTGTGGGGTTGTGAAGACGTTATGCCAAGTTCGCAGGTTGACACTCCTTTTAGAACGAGTGCGGTGAAGCCTCTCTTGTTACAGTCGTAATTTAAGGTGTGACTTTGTGGTCAGGTTGGCGACACGGTGTTCCGTGCATGACATACCTACCCGTTCACAACTAGTACGCGGTTTTTGTGCATTTGTGCTTGGGACATGGAGGCATTGAGTTTCCTTTTGAGGAGTTCACGTAAATACGGGGTTATTTGTGGCTAATAGAT